GGTGCCGCCCCGCTGGGGCAAGTTCCAATTTTCAAGCGTCGCGTCGCGATCGACGGAGTGGGCCGAAAGAAAGCCCAAAAGCTGCGAGCCCGTCTGTGGGGCCCGGACCATGGAGTGTGTTTTTCTGAATAAACTCAGCCGACATCCCCCAATCAAGAATCTGCTGCTCCTGTACCCCGATTTTCGCGGAGGTCCAAGTTGCCGAGACAGAGCAGCCTGCAATGCATCCGCCCCTGAACAGTCTGAAGACCAGAGAGCAGTGGCAAAATGCAGGGTTGATGTGTTGGGACTCGGAGACATAAAGCTGACCGGACATGAAGGCGAGAGAGATGCCAACTACCAGTGCTTTTTTCAACCACAGACAACATGAACAAACCTCACACTGTCGTGAGTCACGGCCCGCCGCTGGATGCTCAAAATGCCCGAAGCCGCGAACTAACATGAACGGAGGTGCAAGACTGCGTCCAACGCTTCGTCACCAGCGACGATGCCTTCACGCAGACGGTCGGGAGGGCATGCTGGCACCGACACTGTTAAGTGTCTGGCATCTGCCTGGTTTGAGGGGTCCTGTCTGGGTGAACTTTCGGAGTCCAGCTTCAGTGGCTTCTGGGAGTGTATTTTTGGTTTGTCGTGGTTTATCCTTCAGTTTTTGCTGTTGTGTAATGGAACCCAGACTATTCAGTAAACGTATAAGTGAAGGAGTTATTGGGATTCCGGTGAAGGGTGCTTAAGGGTCAGCTGCACAAGGTCCTGCTTCTTGCACGCAGGGCGCCGTTCCGCACAACCCGATGCCGATGGAGGCGTGTTTTCTCTGCTTGTGCCCTAAACCCTAGACCCAAAGAAACCAAAATCTGCTGAGCATGTTGCTCGAGTTCTTCAGTGCAGGCCGTGCCACCGAGCGCTGTGTGTGTGAGCGCACGGGGCCTCAAAGGTGATCCTTTTGTGAGGCCTGTGATGCTTACCGAGGCTGAGCGGCTCGGAGGTTCAGGTTTCAATTTTTTGAGGCTTAAGGCTGAAGAACCCCCTGAACGAATGGAGCCGACTTCCGCGAACTCCCCAGGTCTTGCGCGACCGTGTCTGGCGCCACCTCCCTTACAACATGGCTGCTGGGCAGCAGCTTCAGAAGCCAAGATCCACGGAGTCTTGGCAAATCGGGAGGACGATGATGACCATATGTACTATAAGATACCATAAGATACCATAAGATACAATAATGTACTATAGACTATAATCTACCACAATATAAATGCACCATAATACTATCAGTTCTGCTGGCAGGAGCGAGGCGCCAGGTGAGCTGGCTCTAGCACTGATAGCTGGGTCCATTCCCGAAGACTACTTCGGCTGAGAGATGCAATGCTGAAGGTCGTGGAGGGGGACCTCTTCAAGCTCCGGGAAGGCTGGGCTCGGAGCTTTCATAGGCTGCTCCACAGCTCCCTGAGACAAGTTCGAAAGATCCGAAGGCGAAAAACCTAAACCCGAAACCCCAATCCCTAAATCCTCAAACCCTGAACCCTAATATACGGGGTCGTCCTATAACCTCGACGTCCCCAGGCAGCAGCTTTAAACTTGATTCAGGCACGGAAGCCTCAGAGCCCCGCGCTTTCCACCGATGCAAAAAACCCAACGCCCGCGCACCCGAAAGCCGAGAAGTGGGTGCCTGTTACCACAAGTTGGATGTAGAGCACTGTGAAGTATATGCCGTCCTCGTTATGTGGACTTGAACCCAGCTCCTTAACGGGACAGACCGGATATAG